GGGGGGGGGGGGGGGGGGGGGGGGCGAACTCGTGTTTTGCATGCCTACCGGTTAGACCATTGATAACGAGAGAACCGAGCACTTCCCGGCACAGGGGATGAGCGGAAAACATCAAGAGTCTCTACTTGGTAAGCAAAACAAGTCGCCGTTGAAGTCGTTTAGCAGGAATCCTAAGCCGCGGCCTTTGGGGCGTGGGTGGTGATAGAGGTGGACTAAGAGGGGGAAAACAGCATTTTCCAGGAGGGCGACAACCCCAAATCAATGTTCGCCACACCGAGCTTTCGCGTCTTTAAACACAGCATGGAACATTCACGGCAAGAAGAGAGGGAAACCAGCAGAATGCGACAGCCCCCCCCCAAGGAAGGCCTTGTATGATCGAAGTGCCAAATATTAATCTCAAAAAATGTTCCGCTGGTTGACTGCAAAAAAAGGGGCCGATCGGGGGGTATGAGACGGGTCGGGCAAGGAATGGACGCAACATTGCGCCAGGGGAAGAGCTAGCAGCAGAGCGGTGTTGCTCCTAGAGAAGTTTTGCGCTCTTCTATTCACGTGTTTTCACCGATAGGAACGAATTGCCTTACCAACGGTGGGAGGTGGCACCATGGGCTGGTGGATAATGCCAAGGTTGTGGCGCCCTGACGTTCCGAACGAGCTCTATAAATAAGTTTGTGTTGCCCCAAAAAATCCAACGGCCGAAAGCGTGGTTTACCTTCTTCATTTTTAACGCCACACTTTTGGTTTTCCACCAATAATTTTTCGAAGGAGGGAGAAACAGCCAATGCCACTCCGCGGGAGGTAGCCCTCCGCATCATCTTTTATACCCAAAGTGTTGTACAGTGGGTCATCGTGCGAATCGGGAATAACTTTGGCTGACCCAAAACAAAATTCACGTCAGAGAGCGGTGAATTCAACTTCGTGGGGATGGTCTGCTCACGGAGTTGCTCACGGTTTGGTTTTCCACCAATGCCTTTTTGAAGGAAAGGCAGGAGCAATATCAATGGCACAAGGTTTGATGCCTTGGAGTATCATGAGTGTCGGGGGAAAAGGTTGCAACTGGATACCCTCTCTCGCACGGAACGGCAAAGCCAAAAAAAGCGCGTCAGCCCTAGATATCTTGATCATGAGTCTCATCACAACTCGTGACGATTGGCACTTTGTCATCGAGAACCGGACGAGCCGGCCCGGTTTCGGGCTTGCCGGTGAGCAGATTTCACTGGCTGCAAGTACAAGGACTGGCCATGGTCTCGGTAATACGGTGCCGATAGCCTCTCAATGAGCACAGGCTGTATCATAGCACGTCGTGTCGTGCACTGCTTTGCAGCGTCCGCACGACAGATGCTCGAACACCCCAACCCCGCTTTCCCCGCAGCTTCGCAGCTGACTTTGACTTTGATTCTCAAACAAGAATGCCTCGACGATTTCTTTCCCCAATCAGGAACTTGCTTGCTAAATATCAAACGGCGTCGCCGAGACGTGCGAGTGTTCAGACCAATCAGAGCTCGATATATACTTCATGAATAGTAGCACTGTTTTTGATTTCTTGAATTTGATTATTGGGGCTTCGTTAACATAGGGCCTGATGGACGCGACCTTTGGCTGGCCCTTCGATCCGAAACGAGACACCTTTGAAGTTTCTCAACGGCTTCCCATTCGGTACCTTGGTTGGATATGGGACGAGCTGACGTGGTCGAAGTCATCCATAGCATACAGCAGAAGCAGCACCACTGGAGTCGCAATGTTGAATCACTTTTTTTTTTTTTAATATGACCCAACGAATCAATCTCTACCCAAGAAAAGAGTCTAAGATGGAGTGTTGGATTTGGTAGGCGGGGCGGTGAGGCGGTGCCGTGATGACCTAGGGAAGAGGCGGGGCAACTATTTACTGCTATGCTCCTTCAACACGCCCCAAACGTCTTTCTAAATGTCGTGGTTTGATACAGCAGGAGTAGGGGGGGCGGTTGGGCGAGCCCCTGTTGAGCCTCATGCCCCGTTCAGCAACCAAAATTCACGTCGCCGCCGCACCCCGATTGCATCACTGCTACATAGCTGAAAATATCTCCAAAATACCCATTGGCTGCAGCAGCCGCCGCTACCTTGCTTGTTGCAGACAGACCAGCAAGTGCACCCCCCGTCGTTTTCGCACTGATCAGATTTCAGAAACTTCACGCTGACTCCATGCTGCTGCTCTCTGATTGGCCAACTAGTTTTTCGTCTTTCGCTCCTCTCAAAACTCAGATTTCAACGCCTCCTGTCCCTGCAATCGTCTTCTGCGTTCGGCTGCTGGAGTCGCATTGTTGAATCCATTTTTTTTAATACTATTTTCTGAGTATGACCCAACGAATTCATCTCTTACCTATGAAAAGAGTCTTAAGATAGATATTTGGATTTGGTAGGCGTGGCGGTGCCGTGATGACCTCGGGAAGAGGCGGGGCAACTATGTGTTGCTATGCTCCTTAAACACGCCCCAAACGTCTTGCATACAGTAGTAGTAGGGGGGGGCGGTTCGGCGAGCCCCTACTAAGATATATGCCCTGTACAGCGACCAAAAATTCACGTCGTTGACCGCCGCATCCCGGTAGTAGCATAACTGCTACTCAACTGAATAGATCTCCGAAACATCTCTTGGCTGCAGCAGCCGCACGCTATCTTGCTTGTTTGGGACAGACCAGCAAGTGCACCCGCGCCTTTTTACTCTTGGCTGTCAGATTCCAGAACCTCCACGCTGACTCCATGCTGCTGCTCCCTGATTGGCCAACTACATGTAGTTTTAAAACTCAGATTTCATGGATTCCAAAGCCTCTGTCTCTGCAATCTCCATCTGTGTTAGGTGAAGCGACCTGCCCTGACCAGCGGCCACACTTAGTCATGACGCTATCAACAGGGGTCGTTCAACCGGGGCCCCCGCTGGAAGGCGAATACCTTCCTCGAAGCATATCAGTGTAACTAGCATAGCATACCATCCGCCGTTTACCTTCGGGGGGCGTCTGCTCAACCACGGGCGGTGACGCAGTCATGCTCAAAACCTAAAGGTTGCCAGCAAGCAATGGACTACAAGTAAGTACAGTATTGCTTGTCCAGTTGGTCCGTAAATGCGTGCATGCATCGACGACCCCTTCCGCGGGCGGGAGCGAGGGAGGGTTCATGGATTAAGGTGACAACGTCTCGGGAAACGGGTGCGCAACGCCATCACCGGCGAGCAGGAATTTCCATTCCAGTGCGCCCCTTCCACCAGGGGGAGAGACGAGGCTGGATGCTGCACATTCTGTATAAACAATGCACCATCAGCACACAACGTGCGGAGTAGTCAGCTCGCCACAGCCATTGTCTGACAAAGACGATAGAAATTTTAAAGGGTGATGCCTGCGTGTAGACTTGGAACTTGAGAGTCTTTCATTCAGCACGGCGTGCTGTGGTAGATTTACAGATAGTCTATGTATCAATTGTGTTTGTGAGTCAAAAGGCAAGGTAAAGAATTTCTGGTGTTGTTTCAAGGAGCGCGTTGGCACACAGCCAAGGGGTCGACAGCCTTCTCTCGGTGAGTTAAGCCAAGGCACCAACTCCCAAGGCTGGCTGGGGGGGGGGGGGGGGGG